TCTCCTTTTTATGCAGATACACCTGTTCTAATCAGTAGAGAAATTGTTGAAGACTTTTAAGAGTTTTTTCCATTTTCCTAGCAACAATTTGTTCTGCCATTTAATCTAAATCACGTTATAAAAAACCCGTGGACCCATAGGGTGAAGTGGAATAGAACTGAATAGAATCGAACTAACTGGTTTATGTGAAATTAAGGCAGAAATCCTAAACTGAGCCCAGAAGATGTCTTATTTATATTCTTGTGCATATTGAGTGTTAGGTATAACTGTTTTAGAAATTATATATGTAACTCTGGTTGGGATATTCCAACGACCAATCTTTCGAATCCGAATTCCACTTCGTTACTTAAGAAATGTGTTTGTTGTCTGTTCTTTATGTGATTTGAATTATGTTTACAAATTGATGTCATATATAGAAGATTATTTTTCACCTTTGGAAAATGCATCCGACTGACGAAAATTGCGAGGCAAACTAATGAAAATTAAATGAAAACCTGGACAATACTGCCAGCATAGCAAATCTCATAGCATTTCTTTCAATTTCAGTTCCTCAGTTTATATATACAATCTATATTTTATAGAGTTACTAAAAGCGAAATATATTTAAGTTTGGGTAGTCTACAAAACAGTTTTCTGTTTATTATATATTATTTATTATATAGTATATTATATTCGAAGTCTCATATAGAAGTTATTCAAAGTTCTTATAGAGTATTTTGCTATTCGCTTGAGCGCAAACTTTTACTTTTTTGTTAAATATATGCATATATTTTATGCGGCTCTTTTGTGCGCGATTCCTGCTGCTTTTCACGGCTGGCAATTAAACTTTTCTTTAAGCAGAGTTCATAAATCACATTCAACGCCAGCCGGCGGCATCGCGGGTCCAGAGGCACCAGCCTGGCATCATATTATATTACTGAGGGCAGCTTAAGCTGTATTTTGTAAGCTATGTGCGCCCTATACAATGGCTGATCACAAGAGTAACCAACAAATGGCGCATTATCTAGACCAAATAGCGCCAGACATATGAGTCGAGAGTCAGGACAGAGCAGGGACAGCACGTCAGCCCTTGGCCCAGACAGCTGCATATCGTTTGCCATCTAAGCCGGCTCAGTGTCTGCTGTCTGTTGCACTGGGAGACATGTCCAGTGTCCGTCAAGGAAGATTCCGAGTGGGCCGGGATGGAGTGTGTCGGCAAAGCAAAACAAAAGTAGCATCATATGCAAAGTCAAAACCACTAATGGGTCTGCGCAATCATAGGATAAATTAAATTTCAAATACGGACGACAGCAACAAGGGGCGAACGATACACAAAACAGGGCACACAGGACCCCAATTGGGACTGGGTTGAGGGGTTGAGCATTTATAAAGTTTTGCCGACTGCAAATGATATCTTGCTTTGGCAGCAGCCGCAGGCACCGAACCGCAGGCGGCAACCACAGGATGGCAGTCGATGGCTCCCGGCATCCACTCCCCAACAAAAAACCCAACCCGTGCTTAACTTGTGGCCAGCTGTTGGCTGTGTCTTTGTCGGCACTTTTCATTTGAATATGAAGTGGCATTGTCCTCTAGACATACTTCCCATTCCCTTCACAGGCCAAGCTGTTTCGTATCTTTCAACAAGTCTTCAGCGTGGAACGTGACGCCCATCAGGAGGAACTGCGCCGCCTGGGCATCTATGTGGTGCGCAAATTTGTCGAAGTGGCACCAACTAATCCAAAAATCTATGCAGAGTTATTATTTTACAAGGGCATACGAGAGGCCAACGAGCTGGAGACGGGCTATTGTGATGCCTATGAAGCGTGAGTACCACCAGGGACGAGTCTGTGTGCTTGCGATGTGGGGGTCACATTGGGGTTAAAGGCCCATCAGCACAATGGGCGCATGATTGACTGAGCCCTCGGCTGACGCTGTCTGCGCCTGTCGTTTAGCTGCTGCGACTAGTTTCGTTTGGCAGTTGATAAATGATGCTGGGCATCGTCCAGCTTGAAGAACTTGTTCTGTAGCCTTCTCTCGTATTCATTTCGCTTTGCAGCGGCACCAAGGGCGCCTGGAGCGAGGAGCAGGAGCTGGAGTTGCGTTTCCTATTCGAGGAGAATCAACGGAATCCCGAAACCGATAAGGGTAACTATGACAAATGCACGACAACGGGCTCTAACTGCCCCTGCCTGTAAATTAAAACCCAATTTACGCTAAATGAATGAAAGCAATCGGAGAGAGACAACAAAAAAAAAAAAAATCGCCCGAATAGAAAACCAGTTAGCATTGTGAACTTTGGGGCTGCCGAACTTTAAATACCCTTGCAGACGGTTAGCAAAAATATGTGACTATGACTAAAACTGCATCATAAAGTAGACTGGTAACGTGCACATTTTGTAGGATAAGAAATCAAAACAAATATTTCAAACTGAAAAGTTTAATCGATCATAAAGTAACGAATGTTCATACGAATTTGTTTTTATTTTTTTAAGCCATAATCAACCTCATTAAATTTCAAAGTAAAAAGTATTCAATGTAAACAAATTCATGAAAGACCGATCGTTTTTAATATGATATTTATTTAAAGATGTTTTGAAATGTCAAAAACTGATTTCGTAGATTTTCTTTCTCTAATCGTTTCTTTAGGAGCTATATAATATAGTAGTCCGGTCCGATTTTTATAAATTTTGATGAATATAACTCTATTCTAAGAATCTAAAAGGTTTCGTCGAAAAAAAGTCCGTTTTCGACCAATTGTTCTCAAATAAGATATATAATTGTATATAAATATATTAGAGGATTGCTAAAGCGTTACACATGACAACATTTTTTAAAAGGGTATACAAGTAGAAAACAATGAACAATACAAAAAGCAACAGCTGTAATCAAATCGTGTGTGCGTGCGTGTTGTGTGTCGCTTGTGTGCTTGTGTTTTTGTGCTGTTTCAGATGTGATTGATTGGATTCTGGAAAATTTGGTTGACAAGACACGCACACGACGCGGCATTCTAAAAAAACTCAAGGAATTGGATCTGGTCTTCAAGGCGCCTACAAAGCGCTCCACCAAAGCGGCTCTGGGCGGCAAGAACTTGTGGCAGCCGGAGGAGGACGAGCAGCTGAGCAGCTTATACGACGAACATCGCTTTGTGCCAGGTGCGTTGGCTGCGTCCAGCTGCTGATTGGAACTGAATTTTGATGTCCTTATAGATTGTTTGGAACGCATTGTGACGGCGTTCGAGGAGCGCCGCAACAAGCAGCAGATCATCAAGCGAATGCTGCAGCTGCATCTCATCGCAGACAAGTCGGAGATTCTGCCCGCCAAGGCGAGCAAGGGCAGGCGCAAGCCCACTAAGAAGCAACAGGCCAGCGATAGCGATGAGCGGGAGGAGCAGGAGGATTACATGGAAGAGCCAACATTTGGAGAGCCACTGCCCAAGCACGCATTTGCCAAATCGAAGCCACGTCAGCGAGTGCGCACACCCCTCGATGTGGGCACGGTGCGTGCTCTTATCTCTCAGGTGGATGCCGAAAAGTATGCAGAGGCGCTAGACTGGGTCAGGGAATGCCTGGAGGATGCCAGCGAGGACACGGAAGAGGCAGCCGAGGACGATGATGATGGTGTACCGCTGCTGCCGCTGCTCGATATACAAAAGGATGCTATGGAGCTGGCTGATTTTCAGAAGGTGCTGCTGGCGCTAGGCATGCAACCGCCCGTGGCGGGCATGGAGAATTATTGGCGCATACCGAGCTATCTCAATGCGGCAGATCTAAAGCTGCGCGCTAAAATTGTAGTTGGCGCTGAGCTGGAACAAGACAATGACAGCGACGAGGAGCTTCTCCCAGGTGGAGACGATGATGAGGAGAACGATGAGGACTATATAGACAAGCACAGCAGGCGTCAGCAACGGGCCGCGGCACAAAATATAACGGCACAGCAGCAGCGCAAGTTGGACAGCCTGATGTACAGCAAGAGCGACGATGATGCGGAGCAGCGCGAGCCGCCAATGAAGGCCAAGGGAAAGAGACCACGCAAGGCCAAAGCCAAGCAGCAACAAAAGGAATCGGTGGATGAGCAGGAAGTCAATGAAATAGCGCGCAAATTGGCACGCAAAAAGCGACAGCCTGATGTGTCCAGCGAGGAGTCCGAGCCAGAGCAGGAGCAGCAACAGCCTGGCAAGCCCAACACAGATGATTTATTTGAACAATTGAAAGCTAAGCGAGCCACTAAAATCAAATTGAAGGATATGGTTTTGGATGAGTCAACCAAGGCAACAACAGAAGAGGAGCAGGAGCAGGACGATGATGCACTCAACTTCAACTCGGAGGGCTATAAGGCGCGGCTGCTCGAGCTCGAGGAGGAGGAGGAACAGCAGCACGAGGAGGAGCAGGAGCAAGTGCTGCCAGTAGAGACGGAGCACAACAAAGAGAATGCCACATTGCAGGCGAATAACACAATCAAGACACCCGTCTCCGCCAACTCTCTTTCCGGGGCCCTGCAGCGCACACGTCGTGCTAATGTAATTGACTCGGATAGCGACAACGATGATGCTGGCGCCAAGCCCGCTTACAAGGCAAACAAACGCCCACGCAGCGACAATGATGAGCAGGATGGCCAACAACGGGATGAGCCCGATACGGATACTGAGGACGAGGATATCAATTTTCTGGCTCGCAAAAAGCCAGCCAGCACCGAGCCGGCCAAGCGACGGCGTCTAGCTGTCATCGAGGACGACGACGATGATGATGATTTCTAGTATTTAATTTAGTTAGAACTTTGATTTTCCTATTGAATAAATGTCACATTGCAGTTTGCATAATGCTGAGAATTAATTGAAACTCTTTTCCCATTATCGATACAAACTTAATTTTGGGCTGCGATTGCCGATAGCTGATGAAATTGATCAAACGATATATTGCTGCACAGCTCGATTGGCATAATGTGATTGTGTGCGGTTTCGCAAACTACATTCATGGGCAATTTAAAGATGAATGTTAGAAAGTTTTCATTTTTATTTTAAGATTTGCTCGGGCAACAAATTTATATCTTAGAAAGAAATACCTTTTTGGACTCTGTTAAAAGTCTGAGGAACAGTATGGTATATAACTGGCTTGATTTTAATTTTATTCCCCCAGCTATTTTAATTATATCTTAGAAAGATTCCAAGTGGCTTTAATTCAAATAAATGAAGTCCAGATAAACTGGCCACTGAACGGACGTGGCGATATCGATTCATCTTGTCGTCCTGCTCAGTAATTAGCAGTAAAGGCTTCCATAATGGACAACTCCCTTAATCAGACATTTTCGTAAGCTTCACTAACTCTTTTCCGTACAAAGTGAATTTCGCGAAAAAAATAAAAACGCCACGACAGTGGGCGTCCGGTTGTGGAAGCTTTCACTGTATAAACTTTGTGGTGTCGGATGCTTTTCGTTCTGCCTGTTGCATAACTTAGGACATCATAACCCATTTCTCCAGTCTTCTTAAATCTTAAGTGCTCCTAAAAGTCAAAAATAGAAACTGAACACATGCATAAAATAAATGAATTCATACTCTCAAGCCTTTCTATAGCCTCCACATTTTTGGAGATGCCCAATGGCGCGGATGTCACCAGATTATGCTCAACGGATGCAGATGCACACCTGTCCTGTCCTGGGCTCAGTCACAAGCAGGCTACAAAAGTCACTCAACAGCCTGCGGTTCAAGCTGTCTGTCAGCTAAATGGTATGTGACATTTGGCCCCCACAGCCCCTCACTCGCTCACCTCCACTCACTCTTTCTATCTTTTGGACTGTCGTATTGTTAGCTAGCCTGCAATTTGTAGTGCTCCATTATACAATGGAGCCATATGCAGGGCATTCAGCAGAGTCTTTTATGTGAGTGCGTATGTGTGTCGGCTAATTTGGTGGCTATTGTTGATGCAACTGGCATTGTTGTTGGTGTTGTTGCTGTTGTACCGTTGCAAGAGCGCAGTTGCATTGCATTGCATCCATTATTGGATATGTCCAAGTCGCTTTGGCCTAGGCACGGCCATAGCATTCGAAAATTTGCTGCCTACCCCCTCATACCAGTCAGTGCATAGTCTAGCAGATTCACAGAGCGACAACATTGTTAGGGGTCGGATGGCGGCGAGAGGCATGGCAAATCGCACTTAGTCGCATGGCATTGCAGCCACCGTAGTCAGTTGTTATTGTTGGGGTTACGCACTGTAAATGGGCTGCACTCTCATCAAGGGGTTTTTATTGCTCATCTTGACAGGACAATAGCAACAAAAGAGAAATCTCTGTGGCACTTGCCTGTGAGGTTATGTGTGCACAAATGGGAATATCATGTTATTCGAAATGCAAGTTTAAATTTCAGATCCAATTGTGAGCTTGCATTGAGCAGTCGTCAATTTTGGCAGATCAAAGTAAATGCGGAGCAGTTTAAGTGCTTGCAATTTATTTCTTCTTTTCGCTCTTGATCCAATCGTGAGCATGTATTGAACGAAACAGCGTTTGGTAAATACTTTTAATTTCTCCCTTAGAACTCTTTATGGAACTTAAGATGTGTTTAAAATCTCTGCCCGGACGTAATGAAAAAAAAAGAATCTAAAAAATAAATAGTTAAATATGAATATATATTTTTTTTTGTTCAATATTTACTTTGACTATTTAGATAGTTGTTGCTCGGGCACAATTTTTCCTTAAATAAAACCTTTCATTATTTCCATTAATTTAAAAATGCTGTATATTTACTCAGAAATTCATAACGGCGTTAAGTTGAAGTCAGGCGCAGGTACTCTTCCTTCCAGATTTGTGTATCGCTTGCCTGCACTAGGTGCCGCCTTTGGCCAATGTGGCGTATGCGTAATGAAATGCATATCATGTTAAGCAGGTGCATAAATTGTGGCATACACAATGCCGTTACAAACTCATCTATGGCTCTGCATAAATCAGGGCCCAGACAACGTCACCTGTCACTCGACTTATCGTCGTCGTCCTTCTCGTCGCTGGCTTAAACACTTTATTTATTTTGATGCAAAATTAAAAAATAAATAAGTAATATAAAAAATGCTGCACACACGTGTATAGACGGCTGCTTGGCTGCCCCGCCCACAGCCCAACGGGCACTTTATTAATTTCAAGATGGCGCGCACTCAATTTAAAAAGCACGACGCGACGCAACTCATAATTTATTTCATTAATTTAATCAACATCAACGCACATGTCAACTGCATGCATACTCAGATGTGTGTGTATGTGTGTGTGTGTGTGTGTGTGTGCCTCACCTTTTTATCTGCCGCCCTATCTAAGGAGCATGTTGCAAAAAAGTAACAACAACAACAAGGTTATGTTTAAAATCGCTTAATACATCGTAAATTATGTTGAACTTTGCTGTTTCGGCATGGGCATGGGCTCTGAGGGGGACGCGTGTGTAAGGGTAGAGGGGTTTCTTTTACAAAAGGTGGCGCAGCAACTGAAGTTGACAACAGCCAACGCGGCAACTGCCGCTGTCAACGTGATTATCAAGTCTAGAGTTGATTTCTTTTTTTGCCAGCGAGTTCATTAAGCACGCCAATATTGTGCTTGTGTGTGTGTGTACATTTGTGTAATTGTGTGTGTGGGTGTATGCTCAGCATAAACTGTAACTGCTTTCATTAGGGCAACAAGCAGCGCTAAGTTGTTGGGCGCTAAAAGAGTTATAGCCAGGCTTTTTACACGCGCCTTAACGAGAAGCTCAACATTAGAACAAAAGGCCGAGAGAGATCGCAATGGCAAACAGCGAAAGGATTAACCTAATCTGAGGACTATAAAAGCGAGTTTATGCCAACACACACACGCACGCACGCACACTCAATGAGATACACAGTGAAATGTGCAGAAAAAATATGGGATTATTCATCATAAAGCACATTGAGGAGCATGTAAAGGAGCTGGAGCAGTTATACGGCGGGGCAGGAAAATCGCATATGCACACGCTGGCGTTATTTGATGAGTTTGTCTTTGTCTCCAATTTGTGTGTGCGTGTGTGGGTGAGTATGTGAATGTTTTTGTATGCCAGCGGCACATGTTTTTCTAACAATCACACAATGTTTATACAACAGAACTTTTTACACGCATCCCGGCCAAAGCACGGCTCAAATTGAAGCAGATTTGGGCAAAGACAAAAAGCGCCTTTGACGTGTGATAAGCACTAAAACATAGACAGTGGAAGGTGGTGACAAAATGAGAAAGAGAGAGAGAGAGAGAGAGTGAGAGATTGGGAAAAAGAAACACTTGGCCGAATAAAAGAAAGTGCCTGACTTTGTGCTGTGACAAAAACAGTTCATTTTCCTCGCTGTTCCAATGGTTTTTCAGGCCAAATCAGCACAAAACAAAAAAGTCAAGAAAAGAAAAAACAAAAATCCTTTAAGTGCTAAGATCTCAAATCCATGCACAAGTCGAGCAGACAAAAGTACTTCAATGTGTATTGCTTTATATGTAATTCATGGATGGTAAATAGACTAGTTAAAACTTTTTATAAAAAAATCTACAATTTTGCCATGCTCTTGAAATTGTGTAGAAGCAAACTGTACTGGGTCACTGATATAACCCTTAGCGTTTTACGATTTTATAGAGAAGTTTTAGGCTTAATAAACAATATCTGATTCCCTAAAGTTTTACTCTCTCCATTAGCTACAAATGTGTTTTTAAAAAGCTGAAAAAACTGTTCGGCTCGAACCCACGCCTGGCCAGAGGTGAACCAAACCACTTCAAGTGTTAATTGGGTTAAGAGCTATGAAAAGAATCAATTTAACTGATACCCATTAAGTCTGTGAGACGCATAGAGACTAAAAGAGATGCGGTTATAGAATAGAGTTTAAGATTTCTCCTAGGGCGCAGAGTTGCCCAAAAATATCTGATCTGCACGTAAGCACTCTTTGCTCCCATAGAAATGGGGCTAAATCACAATTTATTTGTGTAACGCCCAATAGACCTAACTTCACTTCTTTGAAACGGCTTACCCAACATTTTGCGGACATTTTTCGTTTAAGCCCTGATGAGGGTTGCACAGGTACAATTCACAAGCCGACTAATTGGTATTGTTGTTGCTGTAGTCCTTGGGGGAGAATCTCTTTAGCTGACAGCAACAAGCAAAGAGCTCATTGTATCCAATGCTTAAACGCATACGACGCCTAATACCAGCTTGGTGTGGACTTGAGTGGGCCAATAATAATTAGGCAAATGGCTACCTACTTGCGCTATTGCAACTTCGTAGCCGCTTTGGTTGCATGTGCCACATAAATAACTTATATGATTTAGGGTGGGCGCATCTTTTGATTTTGCGCCAAATATTTTACATTTAAGGCGCCATAAATAAATGCCCACTCAGCGCCCACTGACTTAACCAATTAAAGCATGAATTATAAGCCCGAACAAAATGCCAAGTTTGCCCAGAACAGGGGGCCCCAAGGCGGCTGAGCCATAAATTTGTGCTAGCCAAAAGTCAGCCTCTGTCTGGATTTATTAGAGCAAAAATGTGGTTTCTAATGCTGAATGTGGCCAAAAGCGCGAAGCGAACAATTTTCAATGATTTGCGTCATGCGGCGCCAAAGAAAGTTTTTGTCTTTTGTCTCCGTGCGCCTTTCGCTGCTTGTAACTAAATTGCAGCCACTTTGTGAGGCAAGTTTAAGGCGTGCAAACAATCCTATGAATATTATTTTAGCTCAAAGTTGATGCTTTAAATCAGTTTGTGCATTTACGATAAATAGTTAACATAATTTATACATATTTTTTCGTCGCATACTTAAAAACCTTTAAGTTTCGCCGAAGCTAACAAGTTCCAGAAAGTCCATTTATCTAATGGGTCGTCAAATAGCTGATACTCTTACGGCATATAATAAGAAGTGGGGAATCTAAAATTATATAAAATACTTTAATTCAGGATATTTAAGATCTTAATGTTTTATTAATGTTTTATTAAATTCTACTAGAAAATGTTGGCAACCTAAGCTAGAATATGAATACATATGAATATGTATATAAATCGAACAGCTATCTGAGATCAGATTTGAGTGTGTATTACATATTTGGGTAGAATTATTTATTATGTGTAATGGTTAATTTAATTTTTTCTTAGATTACAAATGTTTAAATTGTGCAAAAATCGGTTTGGCACCTTTTCAGCCTGAACAATATTTTGGGATAAACATGAAGATGCGCATGGAACATAGCTGCGTTGTGACGAATTTTATTTAAAGTTCTTAGAAGATCCTTCTGATGCTCTTGATATTGTGAACATCCTTAAAGAGGAACATCTCAAAAGATAGAGTTTTTTATACGAATAAATCTATTCTAACACTTGACTAACAATACCCCAGCATTACAACTGAGAGAGACACAAACTCGTCAAATGTGTTCAAATTAGACCACAATAGTCTGTTGTTTGTTTCGAAAGGGTATAAAATTGTTAACACAGATTCAGTAACGAGTTTGGGCTCACAAATAGCTACAGCCAATTGCAACGGTAAACAGTATAATGCAACAGCAGTCATATCAGATGGAGGTGGTGCTGATGCCACCCATTGGCGCCCATTATTTATAGACAGGCAATTTTCACGCGCTTTTTCTCACTGGTTGAAAACAAACAAACCAAAAAAAAAAACAGAAAGAAAATGCATGCAAAATTCAAGCCTCGGTGATTTTTATTTATGAGCGTCATTGCTGATGATTGTGACTGTGTTGGTGGACTGGGCGGGTGTGGCAGGGAGGAAGGGTGTGCAACGTGTGGACTGGCGTCCGACAGTCAGCGCATTAACAGATCCGCGACTATAAACCAAAATTACTGTGGCGCCATCAGCGTCTGCTTTTTATTTGCCTGTTTGCAGCCTTATTTAATAAATTGATGGCAAATACTGCAATTGCCGCTCGGAATTTTTGCTATTTACCGAGTGCAAATATTGTGAGAGAGAGAGGGAAGAGTGGAAATAAGGGACGACCAGAGGACGCAGGTGTCTGCCCAACCGATGCCCCCCTGTCAGATTGCGTTACTTAAAATGTTAAGGAAAAACAAAATGGAAAAAGGTTAAGACTAAATATGCTGATGTATACGACTAATAGATACCAACTACTCAGAAATCAAATATATGCTGGAAAAATGAGAGTCTAGAGAATGTTGTTGTTCTTCTAAGCGATGATTATTTCTAAATGCCAATTGGAATGCTTTTCTATCTGCAATGAGGAGAGAGAGGCGAAAAGAAAGCGATACATTAACATTACTGAGTAAATTGTACTGATAATAACTTTTTTGCAACATAATTAACAAAATTAATACCTTTCACAACTTTCTCTCACCTTTTCCATCTCACGCAACTGATTACAGGGTATATATAAAATAACGGCAAACGTTGTTTGGGAATTTTTCAATGGCATTTTCAGTTTATAAATCAGTTTCATTTCGGCTGCTTTGCGGGGCCAATCTGATAAGTTACATAGCACCTGTTTGGCATGCAAAGCGTCGGGCATTAAGCACTAAACAAATGTGGAAATTTGGCAAAGCTCTCCCGCGTGCGCCCAGAAGTAGGCAGCATTTATTTTCGTATTCACCTTTCGGCTGTGGCAAAAATATGTCCGCCATTTTGTTTGCCATTTTTAATGTGTTTTATTTTGTGTGCGTGTGATTTTCTACCACATTTTTGTGTGTTACGTGGCTGCTGCTGGCGTTTCAGT